GCTATCGATTTGATAAAGGGAGAAAGCGTCATATAATGCGAGTGTTCAGATTTAGAATAAGAAATAACCTGCGGTCATATACATTTTATTACAATATATTGTTAGAATTGTTCTATTGAATTATAATGGTTAGTCTCTTTTTTAAGAGACATGACGATCATGGCTATCTACATAGTTTCTTTTTTATCTATGAATTGTTATAAATCAAAAAAAAATATTGAACTAGGTTTTCCTATTGCTCTTTCGTTGATTTTGATTTCAATACTGCTCTTTTCATAGATTGGCTGCAACACATGACTAGCGAGTCCTGCCTACCCTACTATTCAAACCATAAGAGAAAGAGAGAGATTCATTACTTTATTAACGGGATTTACACTAAAGCAAACGAATCAGACTAGGGCGGATTTCGAACTCGGATCAATGATTACATTTATTTCGCCAATAACCGTTACCTTACCAGCGCATCCATCTTTGATTTTCATGTGATTTATGGATTAAACTATCATAAGTATGTATACAGATGAAAAATAGAAGGTATATATAGGTCGGTACTATCAGCGGTTTCAGGCATCACCATGTGCTTTGGAAAACATACCCGCAGATAATGGGGGATTTAATAGAAAGAAGTGCATCAACATATTTCGTTTATTTATAACCTCCACGGGAGCGTAAAATGAACATTATACGCAAAGCACAGCTACAGGTTAATTAGAAATGCTTATGAGGACAGCACGTAAATATTTTTGCACGTCTCTGTAAATCTGATGCTGTCATTTCTAAGTATATTCGCCTGTCTTGGTGGCTAGCTAATTCCAGTTGCAAACGATTGCTCAGGCACGTGTACGTTTCTTTAACGATCACAGAACCAATATTGTAACTATGCAGAGTGAAACTCAGTTTGTGAGAGAGAGCAGTGGTTTAAAAATGAAATAAATCTGGCTAATGCCTTCATTTAATATGACAGTAAAAACAGAATTGGCAAAATATTGCACGTATTATTAAACAGAATTTTCCCTCTTAGGTCGAAATTAACTAAAATATTTAACAAAAAATACTGTCAAATTACCTTACGTTGTCTCTCAATTTAATTAGAAAATTAGCACTAAAAGATTACAGAAACTGGATCATACCTACAACCGGTAACAAATGCACTTGCCCATTAGATGAGAAATATTTGGTTGAAAATATAGTTTATAAAGCTACAGTCAGACCACGTGAGCAAAGTGAAAAATTATATATTGAGTCTACAAAGCAACTATTTAAAAAGATATGGTAGCGATAAAATAAATTACTGCAGAAGTAGGGGAAGTAGTACAACCCTGTAATGTTACTTACTGAGATTAGGGAAAGTATTGGGGTGCCTGTCAATAAATTGGGAAATAATAAAAACAAACAAGACGGAAAAACTACAATATATAGGCTCTGATCGGAAGAGAATCTGACAAGTGAGATATATCCGGAACAAATTATTAAATGCCTTGTGGCAGGTGTTAACTAAATGTCGACATTTAAAGAAATATCTGCTGGCGATCTTAGTACCGGATGGAAAAGAAAATGGACTTTCAGACATCATGCTCCAGTCTATACGCCTTCAAAATCTCACACACCCTAGACTTTCTATCGTAACACATGTGGCACTCTTTTGGTTAATTTACCATAATCACCCCCTGCACCATTACGCAAAGCCTAGAATTTGTATCCAAGCATTCAAAAGGTGGAGGTTTACTCGCTAGAAAATTCCATACATTTTTCATAAAACAATATATATATATATATGTGTGTGTGTGTGTGTGTGTGTGTGTGTGTGTGTGTGTGTGTGTGTGTGTGTTGATATAATAGGAAATAACTCTTAGATTGATGATCCGAAGTTCTTTAGTATTTTTGTTTTTACTTAAAAAAAAAACAGTGCTCAATACAGAAGTAAAGCCTAGATTATAATACTGTTTGTTATTGAGGATTATTACCAGTCATTATCAAGAGATCTATTTACCACTGCTCTAGAGTTTGCTATTATATATTCAGATCTAGCAGAAGAAGAAAAGAACATAATTCTAAACGCAAAAAAGTCTGTTCTCAATCTTAATGGGAACCAATGGATTAAAAACTCTGAAGACCATTTTGATATTACAATGGGGTCATTAGACTTTGCGTCTTCAGACCTTTATATTATATAACCTAACTGTGCAACCTGAATTAGACATTAAATACATCTGGCAATACAAAGATGATGGTGATGAGTTCCATAAATTTTAAAATAGATAAAATTAGAAAGATAATGTATAGTGAATTCAGAAACCTAAGTTTAGAAACTACGATCAACAGAAAATTGAAAAGAGTAAACTTCCTCGATATAACTTTAGACTTAATGAATAACATATAACTACCTTACAGAAAACCTAATACCAGTCCCTTGTATGTACACCCCAGGTCGAACCATCCTCTATCCATAATTAAGCACATACCCTCATCAATAGAGAAAAGAATCACCATGAACTCGGCAAATGAAGAAATATTCTATAGACACAATAATTTTTCAACATAGCTCTAAAAACTAGTGGCTAGAAACACACTAAAAAAAAACAATATTATAAACCAGAGAAAAAAAACAGAAAAGGAAAAAATCATTCCCCCCCCACTCCGTTCAACCAAATGATGGCTAGCAATAAGCTCGGACAAAAATTCCTAGCTTTAATCGAAAAACATTTTCCTACTAACAGCAAACTTAGCAAGATCTTTAATAAAAGCACTAAAATTAAAAATTAAGTTATAGCTGTACTGAAAGTCTAGAATGGATTATAAAGACATAATAATAAAATCCTGAAAAATACGCATGCCAAAATCAAATAAATAAAGATCCTAAATTAAAAAATAAAGAAACATTATGTGATTGTAGAAACCCTGAAGATTGCCCGCTGGATAATAAATGCCGCATAGATTCTGTGATATACAAATATACAATCTCATTCATTAAGAATCCAAATATTGAAAAGATATATATAGGATCCACAGAGAATGAATTTAAAATAAGGTAGATTCTACACAAAAGCTCCTTCAATAATATTAGAAACAGAAATGGGATATCCCTATCTAAATATGTTTGGCATTTAAAGAAACAAATAAAACACCAAAAGTAAAATGGAAAATAATAAACCGAACAAAAACTTGTAAAACCTGGGATTACCCATGCCCTTTATGCCTACATGAAATACTACACATTTTAAGTTTCTAAAAAACGAAAATTTATTAAATCAAAGAAATGAGATAACGGTTTTTTTCAAACACCACCAAATATTCGCCTTAAATAATTAGCATTTTATAAATGGATAAAAAATTATAAATTTCAAATCTATTAATAAGTACAATTAAAACAATAGGTTTTGAAACACAACCCAATCATAATCCTAAAGTCTCTTTAAGAAATCATTAACAAAAAAAAACAAATAAATAAACACAAAAAAACTACCGGAGCTACAACATCAATCAGTTAAAGTTTTAGCATACAGCAATAAAAAAAAAACAACAGAAATACAACATCAATCACTTAGAGTTTCAGCAGAGAATTTGATAAGATTAGCCATTGTAGCCAGATAAAAAAAAAACAACCCAACCTTATACGACTCCAAAAACTTGACATATAACAACCCCCCTACTTCCATCAATCAGTGACACCTTGATAATGAAAAACAAACCTTAGATCACACCTCCATTTCAAAATTATAAATGAGCAAAACATTCCGTAGCATAGTTATTTCAAACATCGCTTGAGGATGAGACTGCCGCCCGGTACTTAAGGTTTAATATGGAAATTAAACTTCAATACTGCTGACTAGTTTCGAAACACAGTAATTTCTGTGTCGTGTTGGAATCATATTTTTAAAAAAAAATATATATATATATATATATATATATATATATATATATATATATATATAGAGAGAGAGAGAGAGAGAGAGAGAGAGTGGTAAAATTAGAACAAATGGAGTATGATTCTACTCTCTGTATTATTTAATTTACAAGCGGGTTCAATAGGGAGTAGAGCTAAATATTTATTTTATGATATTAAAACAAAAAACATGTTACAAATCACTACACAACTACAATTATGTTTCAACACTACAAATCTGTCTCCTCGGGGAATTAAACGAAACGACACACTTTGTAGGTTTCTAGGTTCCAAAACTGAATTCAGTCCACGATTTGAGTTGAATAAAGCTAACGCATTGACGTGTTGAAATAGTCTATACTCATGAGGTCATTTTGGTCATATATATATATATATATATATATATATATATATATATAGTTATTTAGTTAGTTAGATAGCTAGCTGCTCCCTTTCCCTATAGAATATTTGGCTCTATTTTTAAAGCTTAATAAAATGATGGAGTTTCGGTTGGAATTTCCATTCCAGACGCATGTATAATTTTCGGATAGTGCGATCAGGTTTCAATTCAGAGTTTTACTGGACTTGCTAACCAGGCTTATAGAACCCAGTCTACCCTGTTATTTTACACACAGAGAGGAGAAGAGTTGGGTTCATACCTTTCTCAAGGAATACGACTGGAATTCGAACTCGGCTCTCCGATTCAACAATCAGAGTCGCTAACCTTTACTCGTATATCTATCTATCTATCTATCTATCTCTCTCTCTCTCTCTCTCTCTATCTATCTCTCTCTCTCTCTCTCTCTCTATATATATATATATATATATATATATATATATAAACGGGAGTGAGAAAGAAAAGAAAAAGAGTCTCTGTGTGTGTGAATGTGTTTGTGTGTATCTTTGTGAATGCGCGGGTCGTGGGAAAATATATCATATACATTTTCATACCTACGAAAAGGTATATTCATATACCTCTCTGAAAATAGTTCTAAGGCATCACACTTGCATATCAGACCCCTATGTGTTTAAGTAAATATATGTAGACAATACATGTATTTGTGTTAATTCCGGGACGATGAAGAAAGTGACACGCGCGAAATAATTGGATTTTGTTTCAAATAAACAACTTTTTTTCTATTTCCCTTGATAATAAGTGAATTGCTTCACGCCAATAGACACGAAGGAGCCAAAAGGAACGAACAATGTCCAGGGTCATTAAGATTCGATTGGAAAGAATGCGGTTTGCCTCCGGATCGAAAGCTGAACAAGATTTAGTTTGGCAGAAACTGTCATTTTTCTTGACGCCACTTGTACGCCTTACAATTTACAAGGAGGAAATTTGACAGTTTGCTTTTGTTGTTGTTCATTTTGTTTCATATACGAAACTATGAATGTGCGTCGTGTGTGTGAAACAATCACATGCAAAGATAGATAGATAGATAGATAGATAGATAGATAGATAGATAGATAGATAGATAGATAGACAAACTGAGATAGATAGATAGATAATAGACAAACTGAAATAGATAGATAGATAGATAATAGACAAACTGAGATGGATAGATAGATAGATAGATAGATAGATAGATAGATAGATAGACAAATAGATAAATAAATAGATAATAGACAAATAGATAAATAGATAGATACACAAACTGAAATAGATAGATAGACAAACCATAGAAATAAATAAATAGATAATAGACAAACTGAAATAAATAGATAGATAATACACAAACTGAAATAGATAGATAGATAATACACAACCATAGATAGATAGATAGATAGATAATACACAACCATAGATAGATCGATAAATAGATAGATAATACACAAACTGAAATAAATAGATAGATAGATAGATAAGATAGAAGATAGAAATATGAATAGGATTAGATAGATATAGATAGAGAGATAGATAGATAGATAATGGACAAACTGAAATAAATAGATAGATAATAGATAAACTGAAAAAATAGGATAGATAGATAATAATAGAAAGATAGATAGATAATGATAGACTGAGATAGATAGATAGATAGATAGATAATAGACAAACTGAAATAGATAGATAATAGACAAACTGAGATAGATAGATAGATAGATAGATAGATAGATAGATAGATAGATAATAGACAAACTGAGATAGATAGATAGATAGATAGATAGATAGATAGATAGATAGATAGATAGATAATAGACAAAATGAAATAAATAAATAAATAGATAATAGACAAACTGAAATAAATAGATAGATAATACACAATCTGAAATAGATAGATAGATAGATAGATAGATAGATAGATAGATAGATAATACACAACCATAGATAGATAGATAGATAGATAGATAGATAGATAGATAGATAGATATTGTATGTGGTAGTGTACTGTCATTCAACCGTGCTATATGTCCAACCAAGCGTAATCTTCCATTACGATATGCTAGCTAATCCAGATAGCGCTGGTGTCTGGAGTGAATGAGTCCCATTGTCTTTGATTGTTGTACCAAAGCTCTTTTAATGTAAACATATCGTTTATATTCATTGTTTCTACTGAATTAAGCAGTTAACACTCATATTCTTTATATATTGACTTTAGAAGAAAGAAGTTTATGATGATCAGAAAGATAGTCTCTTTACCAAAATCTAAAGAAGTATTAGAAATTATTTCATTTATGTAGATATAGAGCTACCATGTTTTAAGGGATGTCAGTTATCAGTTATCTCCTGTTAATTTCCCTCTGAAAGTTCTCCACTGCCTTAGCCAGACACATGGCACAGTGGATAAAGACGTTAGTTAGATCCAGTGACAGGACCCAAAGAGTGTGAGTTCAATACCCGGCTGATAACTGACATCCATTAAACATGGCACGTGGAACTAGAACAGTCTACCCCAGTGAGCGAAATAAAGGGTTCAGTTCAACATTGCAACCACCTGAAGAAGGCCTAAGCGTACAACGACCGAAACGTTGTAATAAATATGGCGACAAAGATGAGGACAATAGTCCGAATAATGTAAATAATTTTTTTTTTATTCGTGTCTGGATAAGTGTTTTAGGTTTTGGCAATTAATTTGTCCGTTGGTTATATGAACGGTTTTTGTTCTTTTATATATATATATATATATATATATATATATATATATATATATATATATATATATAATATATACATTAATTATACAAATGATGTGGGGAAAACATTTTTATGTAGACACATTTCCTTCCTTGAGGAAGAGTTATTAACAAAATACTTTAAAGAAGCATATATATGTGTGTGTGTGTGTGTGTGTGTGTGTATGTATGTATGTTTCTATATATATATATATATATATATATATATATATATATACACAGAGAGATTTTAAAAATAGATACTTTTTCGAAACTGAAAGCGGATTAAGCAATTTTCATTTTATATATCATTCCTGATGCAATTACAAGTGTTCTTTGTTGATCTATCAGAAAGAAAATCTTGCATTCGATTTCAAATTTCATGGTGTCAAAATGCGTTTGAGGAGAAAATCTGCATAAACTCAGTTTTTCTCTTGTTTCTTTCTTCTGCCTAAAGTCTGTAATCAAATGTACTGTTCAATATTTATACAGACACAAAAGGCACATCTGTAGAGAACAGTCAGTCATTTACATTTTAATTTTGCAAATCATATCGAGTTCAGTCTTTACTGTATGCCGCATCTTAAGCCAGTTTGCATCCTGAAAAAAAATTATATATATATATATATATATATATATATATATATATATATATATATATATATATGAATAAAATAAAAAAGAGAAGAAAAACTATTCTAAGGTGACGCGATTTGTCCTTTAGAGAATTTATAAAGTCGCTCAGCTAAGAATAGTTTTCCTCTTCGCTTTTTATTTATTTTATTTCTTTACAGATACACTCTACCTGAAATTCATATATATATATATATATATATATATATATATATATATATATATATATATATATATATAGATATAGAGAGAGAGAGAGAGAGAGAGAGAGAGAGAGAGAGATAGATAGATAGATAGATAGATACGAGTAATGATTAGCGACTCTGATTGATGAATCGGAGAGCCAAGTTCGAATTCCAGTCGTATTCCTTGAGAAAGGTATGAACCCAATACTTCTCCCCCACTGTGTGTAAAATAGCAGGGTAGACTGGGTTCTATAAGCCTGGGTAGTAAGTCCAGTAAAACTCTGAATTCAAACCCGATCTCACTATTCGAAAATTATACATGCGACTGGAATCTAAATTCCAACCGAAACCCCTATTATTAGCCCATCATTTTATTAAGCGTTAAAAATAGAGCAAAATATTCTACAGGGAAAGAGAGCAGCTAGCTATCTAACTAAATAACTATATATATATATATATATATATATATATATATATATATATATTAGAGAAATCCAAAATTACCTCATGAGTATAGACTATTTCAACTAACGTCAATGCGTTAGCTTTACTCAACTCACTATATATATGGTGGACTCTCCTGTAGTATTCGATGCATGAGGGTCAAGCACCTCAGTTTCCAGGAATCGACAGCCAGACACCAGCACATATTTGATTATGGTGGTGAAGGTTTTGTGCAAAATCAACCACACTTTTTGAAGGGCCGAATAAAAAGACCGAGTGCACTAAATACCGCAAGGTCCCCAAACGACCCTCCGCAGGGTTGTCCTTCTCCTAGACCAATAATAAATAATTTAAGGGTTTCAATTCAACCGCTTTTTTTTTTTAAAATTTAAAACAAATTTTATTGTCATATTTATATATAAAATAAATGGACTAAATCTCTTGTTTATGCGTCATTTTTATAGATATAGATATTTAATTAATGCTCTGTTTATAATAAGCAGTATTAATAACATTTACCGGTTTGAATGTCCGAAAGTTATTACAGAAAATATGTGTTCTCCGACAGCAATCGGACCTGTATCCTACACAGAACTATCTTATAGACTGGCAGGCTATACTATTTAGCTACAGATGATATTCGTGAGAAATCGTATGAAATTTGTAGTTTAAAAGCAGTAATTTGACCTTGACAACCAGACGCTTCCTGAATGTCGTGATATACGTATTTTTTAACTATCACATTATTTCTTATTTGTCTCGCTGTATCTTTCACACAACGTTCGTAATTACAGTTGAATCTCGAATAATCAGACACTCCGACTTATTCATTCTTTTTAAAAATCCGCATACACACTTCAAATGTTTCTTCGCTTATTCCCAACCTGCTTTTTGTTCCAAGCGTGTAAATAACATGAAATAAAATATCCTATTTTCGAATATTTTTATTTGGAGAAGTCATAATCCAGGAAACTTTAATGTTTCCCATCAGCTGGAAAAATTTTATTTGAATCTATTTTTTACTCATCCTTCTTTCAACAGGGGAATATTTTCAACTGAATTCAAAAGTTATTTTCCGATAATAAAAACGCAGTTCCTAAAAACTGATTCTCATCGATAGATTTGAACTAGCTAGATTGATAAAATAAATTTATGAAATTGCGCTTACAAATTGTATAGAACATTTCAGAGGTCAAGAGAGTTTTTCTGCATGGAAATCAGTAACAAATATCCAAATCTGCTGCACAAGTCATATATATATATATATATATATATATATATATATATGTGTGTGTGTGTGTGTGTGTGTGTGTGTGTCTGTGTGTGTGTGTGTCTGTGTGCGTGCGTGTGTGTGTGCTGATTCATGTGCAAGCTAGCGGGGACACGCACGCTCACACGCACACACGATACACAAAAATGGAATTAGATTTGACAGTCACAAGGGTGATGTGGTGATAGCGGGCGCATCTATCATCAACACATCTGTCATCGCCACCACGAAGACCAAATCTAATGATTTTATTACCATTTAGGCAAAAAGTCACTTTTGCCAACAGTCGAAAAAATGAGATCAATGCTCACTACAAATACAGAATATGAACAATGAAATATTAAAAGGACATAAAAAAAAATTTATTCCTTTAAAAATTGATTAATTTAATTTGCCTGAAGAAGGTCACGAGACCGAAAACCCGTGTAGCAAAAATATGAAGAATAAAATATAATATATACACTAAAATAAATCGGACTGACGATTGCGTCCAGCATGAAACAGCCTGTCGCTTCTGAGTTTTGACTTCAATGTTCACTTTTATATTTATATTTACATACGCTCTATCTCTGATATTGAGAACTTTATCCCATGAATATAGCTCACCTTAAAACTATATTTCTTCATATATATATATATATATATATATATATATATATATATATATATATATATATATATAATTAATATATTACTAATTAAAAACATCCCACATATTATTATTCCAACTTTCCCAGAAAGGTATCATTTAGAATTGCGAAACCACCCCCACATGTTTCAACACACGCTTCAAACGTGTCTTAGCTTATTTCAAATCCGCTATTTATTCAAAGCGTGTAAATAACATGAAATAAAATATCTAATTGTCTAACATTTTTATTTAAAGAAATCATAATCCGTCAGCAGGTAGATATCCCAAAAGAAGGGTCACACCTGATAGTGAACTGTAAATGCAAGGGGCTTCCCCTCTCCCGGATTTTTCTAGAGGAATTACCAAAGGAGTAGAAGTAGTTTTCTCCCGTCGGGGTAGATGTTGCAGATGTAGTATCAGTTCCCTGTCGGAGGCCTTCTCTCCTCCCTTGCTTCTTCTGACACCTTTGCGTAATATCTATTACGTTGCCGTCGTATGACTAGCTTAGACAAGCTTTGACCAACTAAGACCAGATTAAACAAGCTTAGACCAGCGGTCCGAGTGGAAACACTAAAAACCGACCTTGTGTCAAAACCTGACTCATTAGGGGGTGGGGGGTTCAAGTAAATCTCGGACACTGTAAACACAAATTTCTCATAAGCAGACTGAACTGTACGCATGCGTTTGTGACGTCACAGGAAGATGATGGCAACCATGAAATTGTGCAAGGTCCATTGATGATTTACATGCCTTCAAATTTCACAACGAACATATGGCTGTTCTCTATTCTGTACTAATTATCACGCAATCAAAGACCTAAGAGCTACTCAAGGTTACTGAATTAATTTTCTGGAAAGATAAATATATTATTTGTCGGAGAGCGCAATTTTTTCTTTAATAAGAATTATGAAAAATTCATGCCAGTCGACGAAAAGGACTAAATATGCTGTTTAATAAATAAACGAAGCATCTATTCAAATACGAGCATCAAGTAAAAATAAGATTTAAAGTGGTAAAGATACACCCTTGTGGAAATTAATTGAAACAACTGCTTTAGTTTCCTTCCTTTCAACATACGATCATTTTTAAACTTTCTTTCTTTCAACATACGA